GGGGACGTCGTACCCGTAATAGTCCTGCCAATACTTTCCCCTCTGGAATAAACAGTGTGTAAATACAACTGTTACCCTATTTTAATAGTATTAACCATGATAAAAGAATGTTTGAATATTGTCTTCTTTGAGCAACTAGCACCGTAGAGATACAATGTTGTTGATAAGCATGTCGGTATTATTATAATTATCTTGTATTCGACAATAATGCAAAACAGATTAATGAAAATAAAAAAAAAAATAAAAAAAATGTAAATATGTAAATGTTATAGTGTTTGCAGAAAATTATAAAGTTGCTAGACATCATTTCTGCCGATACAACTATATGTTTATCATACTGATCATAAAGTATAGTTCGGAAATAAGGGTCAAGAAATATATAGACTTGTATTTAATTATTACAAATAAGTTCAGCCACTTGTTAATCCAATAAGGATGCTCTCAGTTTAACCCTTGTCTGACGCAATACACAAACTTTAGAATTAAGTTTGGTAGCTGACATTTGTATGATTAAATTATTCATGTATAAACATTTCTGGTAGACTTTATACCTTGGACATTAGCCATTCCTGTGAAATAATAACAGAAACAGTAAATTCATTTTTTTAAGAATTTAATATTTTCTTCGAGGCGTTGTAATCAAACAATATTTGTAATAGGTTACGACTATCTGTGCTAAATATTATTGATGTTAAATTGGCTTTTGACTGGAAAGAATTGCCCGAAAAAGACAATCAATCAGAATTGGGCCTTTGGGTTATACAACCGTTCAAATGTAAAACAAAATAAACATATCACGAACGGCATATCAGAATTGAGGATGCACTTATAACAGAGACAGATATGCACGAATTTTGCTCATCTTTAGCACATGACCCGAGTACTGCCACAGTGAAACATATACAATGATTCCATCGATAAGAAAAGTTATTTTCACACTTGCACCATGACAACAACATGGTAATGAAGTTCTGATATGAATTCAAATATGTTAACTTAACGTTCTCTGAAAATTGGCATTAACCGATGAATTTTGCATTTCAACGAATATATTTATAACATTTTAATTCTTCCAAGTTGAATTTACAGAATAATATATGTGTTTTAGATTAATTTAAAATACGTGTATATTTGCTTTATGTTATTTCGACCGCAAACGTTTTTACATGAACAGTATATTTCTATCTCCATCAAACAGCAGGAATCTGAAATTAATAACAATCTGTTAACAGGTGATTCTTTCAATTTGATATACGGTTACAATTGCAAACATCAGATTAAAACCAAGAGGAGAGTATGGCGGCGCTTTTCGAGGAAATTTTAAACCGAATAGCAACCCCATACAATATGTTATTCGCAGTGACTTTTAAAATCGCATATTTTAAACTAAATACATATTTATTTCTTACCTTTTCATTCTGTTCATCATTCACCTCCGCTTCAACACTAACAAGTGTTTTCATCTCCTCCGGACTTGTTACATCCTTCTCAGACGTTCCTTCCTTCCTGGCGGCATTTTGTGGCCATTCATCAAGGTTCCTGACCAAATATAACGCCAGAAATAGGAGAGCGAGAGATACAACCTTATACCCAAGGATGACTATGTTGACTTTGATCCGCAGTCCTGACAGTAAATAATACAAGCATGCTCCGGAAGACTCGCATGTGTTTTGCCAAATAATGCATGTTGTGTCAATAACCTTCCCAATAATGATCGGAGTGGGCATCCAACCTGTAAAATAATATAGACCTCGTGACTGTAAAAATACTTTTTACGTGATACATTTTTTTGAACTTAACAAGTATCT